GGAACGTGCACTTGTTGACAGGCAGAGCTGAATTCAAAAATGCAGTGAACCGTCAGAGGCTATTTGCATCAAAGTTGTTTGCATCAGATTACAGTGACATCGGCTGTGTTGTTTGCCTTTGTTCTATGCTGTTGGATTCCGGACGACGGCACAGGTCGCAGCAAAAGCGAGGCGGGGTGAGGCGCGGCCCCGTTCCGTTGCTCCCCAGTAAGCTCGCTCGCTGTCATTCCCATCTCACCTCGGCTTCTTGCGCTCGCTATCTCGATTGCGCCCGATCCCTGGTCGATGAACTGTTCATTTCCGTGCAAGCCGCATCTCACCCTGCTTGACCGTTGACCTTTTTTCTTTGCTGCTGCATATGTTCTTTTGAGATTGTTTCTTGATAGGAAACGTCGTGTTTTTAGCTCGCAACCTCGCCTGCACGCAGCGCGCGAAAAGCAAAAGCACCGGCGGAATGGCGGCCACAGCACCTGCGACCCGGCGATTCGTCAATCACCCTGGCGTAAAGGAAGCCTCGGCTGACGCGCTGCGGTACGCGCCTGATGAGGACCAGAACCCTTCGCTGAGGGGATTGCCGCTTCTTATTGCGTCGTCAATGTATGTGTTGTTGTTATTTTTGAGAGTGTTCATGAAAAACAGTGTGATATTGATTCAATCGGTAGTGTTTTGAGAACCAAATGGCTGCAGGGCTTTCTTTGGGGCAACGCCAAGTTCGGCGAGCCGAAAAATACGCCTGGGCTAGAGAATGAGAATTGGCGGCTGCAGGTGGGTTTATCTTGTCATACGTGGTACGGCGAGTTCCGTTATTGACGAGCAGGACAGCCGAATGTTATTCCCCTGGCCGAGGGGCCTTCGTCGCAGAAGATGCTGGAGATCGGGCCGGAGTTGCAGCTGCCACAGCCGGAGAACCTGCCCGGCAGGTTTTACTCGGTTGCCGATTATCACGGCTTGTATAGTCGCGGGGAGGCGACGCCGTTGCAGGTTGTTGAGGCGCTGTTGCCCTTGATTCGTCGTGATGTCGAGCCGAGGTCGAAGTATGCGGTTGCTTGGCTGCAGACGGATGCCGATGAGGTGTTGGCGGCTGCGAAGGCCTCAACCGCCAGGTGGGCCGCGAGGGAGCCTTTGGGAATATTGGATGGTGTGCCGTTTGGCGTGAAGGATGATATTGATGTCAAGGGGTTTGTGAGCACCATGGCCATGAAGGTTGACAAGCGGGAACCGTACTTCACCAAGCCTGCCACAGAGACCATCTGGCCGGTAACGAAGTTGCAAGAGGCTGGTGCAATCATGATCGGGAAGATGAACCAGCATGAGATTGGCATGGATACCACAGGTTGCAACGTGGTAACTGGGACCGCAACAAACTGGTACAGCAAATCTTATTACCCTGGCGGTTCATCCTCTGGCGCAGGCTCCGCTCTCTGCGCCGGCATTGTGCCCATCGCCATCGGCACCGACGCCGGCGGTAGCTGCCGCATCCCCCCCGCGTTCTGCGGCGTCTACGGGCTCAAGGTTACACACGGCCGGCTTTGCACGCGCAACTCGTCCGTGTGCGTCCTCGCACCCATGACTTCAACAGCCGCCGATCTCGCCATTGCCTACCGCTTCGCATCTCAACCCAACCCCTCTGACGTGGACCAATCCCTCTTTGCGACGTCGATACCCCCATCGCCATCCGCCAAGAAACACCTAGGTGTTTGTCGCGAATGGATTGCCCGCGCTGATCCCGACGTCCGTGCTGCCTTCGACGAAGCCGTCGCCCATCTCACCTCGCCCCGCGTCGGCTATGAGGTCGTTGACATCCAGCTCCCTCATCTGCGCCAAGGGCAGCTTGCCCACGCAGCAACCTGCTTGACTGAAGCCGCGGACGGCGCCTACTCGCGTGTGGAGAATCCAGCGAATATGTTCCGCCCCTTGACAGCCCCGAACAAGATGCTCATCGCTATCGGTGCGCAGACGCCGGCGACGGACTATCTCAAGTACGGACAAATCAGACAGGTCATAATGGCCCATCTAGCGTCGCTGTATCAGAAGTACCCCGGGCTACTGGTGCTGACACCCACAACGCCGGCGGCAGGATGGCCCATTACGCCGGGAGATGAAAAGTATGGGTTGCAGGACGGGAACAGAGCGGTTGCAAACATGACGTATGTGTGGCTGGCAAATTATAGCGGGTGTCCGGCCGTGACATGCCCGGCTGGCTATGTGCAGCCCAAGGACGGGCGGGATGGCATCTTGCCAGTGGGGCTGATGGCCATGGGCGAGTGGGGGGCTGAGGAGCAATTGTTGGGTTTCGCAAGAGAGGTTGAGGGCTATGTGAGTGAGGTTTACCCTGGCGGAAGGAGGAGGCCCGAGGAGTGGGCGGATGTGGTGGGGATTGTGAAGGGCGAGGGGGAGGGAGAAGCAAAGTGATGCTTTGAAATGGGAGATTGCACGGTAATTCATGAACGTATAGCAGGCAATAGGTTTGAACCATGATAAGGAGAAGGGGGGCTTTGGGAGGAAGATAAACATGTTCCATTGCATCTTGCACAGTGCGCTGCACGGTTTCCGTAAGCCAAACACTGTGGAGCCGTTGGACTCCGGCGTGTTTGAGACGGAACCCGCGCAACTTCGTCCTGGCCCAAATCGTACCACGACAAACAATGCAAACACAAATGCAAAATGGTCTACCACTGGGAGCCCCACAGGGAAACATGCTACCAACTTTATGTTGTCGAGAAGAAATCGCTCGATGAGGTGGTCGAGTATATGCGCGATGTGCACAATTTCGCTCCAAGGTAAGAGGCTGGCGCTTCGATGTCCTTGTTGGTGACGCTGAGACGTGTCTGCGTCTTGCTCCCGTTGCGTCGCCGTACCGACACTCAGCCATCTGCGCGCACCTCAAAGGTGGCCGTTTGTAACTGACGGGTACAGTCGTCGCGGGTTCCAGACGCAGTTTTCAAAATGGAACTTCCCGGCCAAGTATCGCCGCGTTTGGAAGAACGAGCAGCTCGTCGAGCGTGTGCGCGAGCTGTGGGAGCAGAATTACAAGCAGAAGGAGATGCTGGAACGATTAAAGGAGGACGGATACGACATTGAGATGCGTGAGCTGGTCAATGTCAGGTCAAAGTTCAAGTTGCGGCTGAGGGCCAACCAAGGTGGCTTTGGCGCACTGGGTGCTGAAGAGGAGGAGGAGGGTGAGGGCGAGCAGGGCGACGATGATGATGCGGGTGACGAGGGCGGTTATGAGACGGCGCATGAGCGTCCGCCTTCGCGTAACTCGGGCACTCCGGTGAACGGGCTCCTAAGGGCTTTGACAGCCGAAGAGATGGCGCGGAAGGAGGAGAAGAAACGGCTGTTGGAACTTGAGATCATGGAAAGGGGCGCGACCAAGAAAAGACGGCGACACACCAAACCCTTTGCTGGAATGCCGCCAGACCCGCCAGGCCCTCCACGGTTCCCGTCTGAGACGACGCTGGAAGAATCCAAGACCATCTTGGAGCTCAACAAGGACGAGTACAACCTGATGCGGAAGAACTTCCAGAGGATCTGCGAGGAGAACGGCATCTGGAAAAAGGCCGAAGCCGCCGAGAAGTGGGAGACGGCAAAGGAACAGCTTGTCCGCGAGAGCATGCATCTCCGGGCCATCATGTGGGACCACGCCAATGAAGACCAGAAGCGTCTGGCCATCGATGTTATTGCCTGCGACGTGACCAAGCGGATGAGGACCGCTGAGACCTTCATGCCGCTGGCCGAGGCCAAGCGAATCCTAGGCCTCTCTCCATTGCAGGGGAACGAGCTGCGCAGCATGTTCTACAAGATCCTCTGCGACGATGGCTTTACTTACAAAACGGCTGAGGGCCAAGAGCACTGGGACGAGCTCAAGCAAAAGTGGTTTGCTGGCTCCGAGCTCCTTGCCGGGCTTGCCGCCCAGCCAGACCCCAAGATACAAAAAGCCATCAACGTCCTCGCTCGAGATGTCATGCGGCGACAACGAGAGGACCAGAACAGGAGACTCCGCGGCGAGTACAATCCCAAACCTCCCAAACCCCCACCAAAACCCAAGGCGCCCAAGGTGCCCAAGTCACCCAAGGGGCCGCCAAAACCCAGAGGTCGGCCACGAAAGAACACAAGGCCCGAGGATTCAAACAACCTCGTGTTTGGCGACTCCAACAGTCCCCCAACTCCCCCAAGACGCCAACAAGCACAAGCCAACCCGACTCCATCGCCCCGTCGTCGCACCCAGGCCCAGCAGACACCGACCCACAGCCACGCCCGATTCCTTCCCCCCGAGCCCATCGCCTCTCCGCAGTCCGCCCTTCCAATGGACCCTCACGCCCAACTCAACCCCCTCCTCCTTTCCGAGCCCCAATCCTTTGTCTCAGAGACATACTATGCACCCGCGTCTACTCAATCCGCATCCCTCTACCGTCAAGCACAAGCACCAGTCCAGTCCACCACAATGGCAGTGTACTTTCGTCTCCACCCGGAATCATCACTCTTCCCCGGGACAGTCATATCACCCATGTGGATATCAACAATTTCCTCGCGCTCGCTGGAAGAAGTCCGGTCAGCAGCAACAGAAAAGTTCACCGATGTGGTTTGCATGGCTGTACAGGGTGTCATCAAGGACGGAAAAGGAGGAGAGTTGGTTCTCGCTGTGCACGATGATGCCCAGTTAGAGGCATACTTGGCTCACGTTGGGGGTATGGTGCCGCCGACTTTTGCAGTACAGCTGGTAGAAGGGAGAGGAGAGTGGGTGTGACGGGATGTGTGGAGTGTTTTGAAATGTGTGGATACTGCACGGGTACATTTGTACCATCGAAGCCGGAGCATTATTGAGTTTTTTTTTTTTTTTTAAAAAAAAAAAAAGAGGTGTATAAATTCGACAAACAGAGGTAATTCAGACATCTATTCCCACAAAAACTTGGAGAAGATATGGTTGGATAACGTCAGGTTGTTGATCTTGTACGCCTCTCTAACAAAAAGCGAGTTGTTGTGTTGTATGATACTTATCATGGACGAGTTGGGAATCGAACCCAAGGCCTTTCGCATCGAGAGGATGCAAAGCGAACGCTCTACCAACTGAGCTACACGCCCATTCTCAATGAATGCCAGTTGCAGGAAAGGCGCCGAAGTCTGGCCGGTGAGATCATCTCGGACGAGGTTGGTACTGTCGTCGTTGGTGTTGGGTCGGCGCTTGGGATAGGGGCTGGGGAAATGAAAAGAGTTAACTGGGATGCTCTGCGAGAATGACCAACTACACGTATCCACTGAATTGAGTCCTTAAAATGTCGATTCAGTGACCATGTGTTTTGGTTGCTTGTGAAATGGGGTTAAAGGGATGGCATCACTGTCTGGGTGAAATACACCAAACTCATAACTCCTGCACCGGAGTTCATGCCAGTCATTGACTCCATTATGTGCTTCCATTAAAAAGACCAGCCCAATCTAGGGTATCACTACAGCATAACAACTAACCACTGAACCCAATGACGTGTGACCATTTGAAACTCCTCAGTTCAACCTTGGACTCTTCCTTTTCCCTCCCACCAGGCCAATCGGTAGATTTTCCATCCCCTCAGCCACTGCGCTGACTTTCTTAGCTCTCGTCCTCGTGCTCCTCTTCATTAGCGGCACTGTGTTTTCGTCTACGGAAATGACACTAGAGTTTCCGTCAAACACGCTCCCCGTCGTCACATTCAGATTCACCTCCCGCAAACTCATTCCTAGCGACTTCCTAGTCATCTCGGGCGAAGCGTCGCTATCGCTAAACACAATCGACGGCGCTGCTTTGGTGGGCGTTGGCTCGTCCCGCATATCGGCCAGTAATACTTCGTGGGCACTCGTTCGTGGTAATTCGGTGGGGTATTGGTAGGCGACTTTTTCTGGCGTCTCACCGGTGGATTGGTATTCGTGGAGGGTTGTGGTGTTAATGTCTTCGCGAAGACGAGCGAGGGGATGGATGAGCTCGTCATCCAAGGTGGGAAGGGTGGACTCGAAATTTTCGAGGTCGGTCGACATCTCGTCGCCGAGCTGGTGAAGGCGATCGTACGTCTCCTTGCAGTGGGACGAGATGTTAGAGAAGGAGTTGGAGACGGTGTCAGTAAGGAGCTGAACAGACACAGCGTGTTGTTCATGATGGTCTGCATTGTAAGATTTCGCCCGCGAGACAAATGCATCAAGATCAGACATTTGGGTGTCGAGATCTTTGAGTTGCTCATCAACAACGCGGACAGTTTCGGCGTGGACGGATCTGGTGGTCGTCTGTATGGAGCTGCTGTGCTTGTTTGCGGACTACGAAAGGTTAGCAAGGATCTGTCAGGGAAAGGGGGGACACTTGCGTTCCACTCGTCCTTGAGCTTCACTTTCAGTGCCTCGCGGGACTTGGCAACGTCTTCCAACAATCGGCCCTCCTTGGCACTCAGCGTATCCATGCCCTCTGAATACTGGGCAATGTCTTCGCCGAAAGACTTACTCGCCTCGGTGACTTCTTGTTGAATCAGAGCCGCTTTGCCGACGAGACGAGAGTGTTGGAGTTCTGCTTGCGAGTTGATCAAGGTGGTGATCTGTAGCAGCAGGTTCTGCCGTTCAGCGGCAGCCTGCTTCCGTTCCTCGTCGATGACCTGTTGGATCTTGCTTGCTGCAGACTCGTTGGACTCAACAATTGTTTTGCTGGCTCCCTCGAGTTGCTGCCTCAGCCTATCCGATTCAGCCTTTTGCGCGCTAATATGCTTCAAAAGCTCCTCAAAGATAGACTTGAAGTCTTTCCCAAGAGAACTGTACGAGGCATGCAGCTGATCGTGGAAGGTGTTGAGCTCACTAAGCACATCCTCCGCAATCTTCTCTGCCGCGCCTGCTATGGCCCGAAGGCTCTCGCCGACACGGTGTTTTACATTATCCCGCACAACCTTGATCTCCTCCAATACTTCGTCCATCTCGTCCTTGGATGCTTGTTTTTGGTCCAACAGCTGCGCCTTAGACTCGCTGATCTGGCCAAGATTCTCGTCCAGGAATGTCTGTGTTGCCGACAACTTCTCCAGCTCTTCTTGCACAAATGATTGCATGCGCTCTGAGATGCTGGATATATGCTCTTCGTGGCCTCGACGAAGCTGCTCGATTCGGCCTTCGACGAGCTCGGTAACACCCGATACCTGGGCCTGCGACATGGCCCAGGTGCTTCGGTTGAGGAGTTGAAGGTCCGACTTGCGTTTGTTCTTGGCCCGCAGCCCATCAACATGCCCGACTGTCGTTTTGAGGGTGCTAATCAGCTCGCTCCCAACAGCAGCCAGCTTCTCCTCCGTCTCCTGGTGCGCCTTTCGAATATGCGTCTCCTCAGCTAGAGTCTTCCTAGTGGCGGCGAGCACCAGTTCCGTTTGGTCAAGCACCTCCTTGGTCTCGTCGAGCTGCGCGCGTGTCCCTTCGTGCTCCTTCTTCAGCCCCATAAAGCTCGAGGTCAGTGAAAACAGCTCTTGAACCTTGTTCCGCAGGTTGTTTTCCAACATCTCTATCCTTGCACCCTGCTCCTCGGTGAGAATGCGGCGAGACTCATTCTGGGCAGTGATTTCCTCGTACGCATCCGTTGAAAGATAAACGCCGTTCCGCTGTCGGGTTGCAATCAGCTCGCTCTTGAGCTTCTCAATCTCTCCAGCAAACTCGCGAAGCAGCGTCTTTTTGTTGACGAGAGCATTGAGCTGCGGCTTGTTTCGGATATTCTTGGCTCGGAAGGCATAGTCCAGGGTGGATATTGTCTCTTCCAGGTTGCTCTTCGCCGGCGAAACGGTCGCAATGATACACGTCTTCGTCCGCCCGCCCAGCGAATCTTGCAGCAGGCGGGTCAGCTTCGATTCTCTGTATGGAATATGGGCGCTGCGGTCAACCAAGGCGTTGATGACACGTCCCAATGTCAGCAAGCTCTTGTTGATTAGGCCGGCCTCAGCCGCCCGCTTGTTTTCGGCGCCCGAACGCTGGATGTTCTCACTTCCTGCCAAGTCGACCAAGTTCAGCTTGCCTGCCATGAGGTAGTCCTCCCCGCTCTCGGTTTTCCGCTTAGCGTGGACCGTGATGGTGAATATGGTGTGACTTCGACTGCTCAGGTCGTTGCATTTCGTGGCAGCGACCTGGCGCCTCACGCTGCCTTCCTGTAGCCATTTCAACCCGTCGGTCGCGTTGGTGATGTGCCTCTCCTCCATTCCCTGTACAACCGTGGTAGCGTGGTTCTTTTTGGAATTGTCGTCGTAGATCTTGAGTTTGGCGCTGTCGTCGGGTGACAGGAGGTCTCGGAGTTCTTCGTTGTAAAGCTCGATAAAGGAGCATCGCACGCAGTGGTCCGTCTCCTCAGCTTCTAGCTTGTTGAAGAGAGCCTGGAGCACTCGAGGTATGATGCCGGCTTCGTCGGAGAGCAATCCCAGCGTGCAGGTCATGTCACCGGACATGGTGTACGTCTTTCCCGTGCCCGTCTGTCCGTATGCGAAGATGGTGCAGTTGTATCCCGTCAGCATCTCGTCCATTATCGGCTTGACAACGTCGTCGAAAATCATGCTCTGGTCGGCTGCTTGTGAGAAGACACGGTCAAAGTTGTATGTTTTGTTGCTCAGGGACGCCGGACCCATTGACAGCTCGACGACCTTGCCCTTGACGCCATCTGTCCCGACGACCACAGCGCTGTTCTCTTTGACCTCCCGACCGTTGCGTCCTCGACATCGCACAACGACATTGATGTTGGTAGCCTCTCCGTCGTCGGGGTCGAAGTCGCGCTCCTTGCGCTTGACGCCGCTAGTCGCCGTTGTCGCGCTCGACATGAGGGATTCTGCGGGGGACGGTGCGCGTGATGTTATCCGGTCGGGTCGCGCCAACGATGCCGTTCGTGTTCCTCCAACTCTGCTGAGATTACTTCGTGTCGTGGGCGGTCGGATGCTTGAACGCGTCCCCGCGCCCCCTCTGGGTGGCGCCATCGACGTCGTCCGCCGCTCCATGGCAATGTCGGTGTCGCGTCGATGCCAACAAACTCGAACACCGCAGTTATCGACGTGGAACCAACACGGTAGTCCAAAAACGCGACTGATGGTTCCCCGCTGAAGATTCTGCCGCTCCTCGGGTGCTGTTCAGGGTCGACTTTCGTGGGTGGAGTGTGCACGGATTGCGGGTTGTTGCATCGCGGCTGGACAGGGATTTCTGCCGGGGTCGCCAGGCGTGACATAAACATCCGCGACGATATGAGTGATTATTGCCACAGCAACGACGGACCCGCCTATCACCCTTGCCAGATGCATGAACCCCGCCGTGCCTGCCCCTCGCCCCGGACCCCGCTGTCGGTTGCCTGCCGCGGGATGACGTCTCGCGCGCTTGCCCTCCTGACACCAACGCCCAGGTGCCGCCTTGTGAACTGAATCCGATCACGAGGAACAGGCCCCAGCGCATCTGAACTCTTTTTCGCAATTGTCCAACGACTCCCCTCCCGAAACTCTTGAACGGGCTGCTCTGTTCACCCGTTCATACGAGCCGCCTGCGGCTGACTGTCGTCCGCTCGACTATCGCCGTCATGTCGTTGTTCTCGGCACAGCTCCATCCCGGCCGGGCACTGGGTTTCCTGGCGCTCGGCGCTTCGCTCCACGACATTCTCACCCGTCTCAAGGCCGAGCCCCAACGATTCCCGAAGCTCAACATCATGTACGATCCTCGCAATCCGGTCAAGCGACCCGTCGTAATCGATCTTCCCCCAAACGGGCTGCGCCTGCGTTTCGACGGCTCGGAGCAACGACTGCGTTTGATTGAGATTACCGACTTCACCAAGAACCACATCTTCTTGAAGCCGGCAAACGATAAGGAACGCGATCTCCTCCGACCCCCGGCCCAAGGCGAGGCCTATGACAGCAAAGGCCCGACGTTCCGTCACATCTACCAGCGCTTTCTCGGTCCGACGTACGACGGCGAGTTCATCCTAGACAATGACCCTAGCAAGCCGATTGGCACTTACGTGCTCTCCTACCCCGGTGTCTCCTTCAACTTTGCCATGAAGAATTCCGACTACCGAACTGATAAGGATGTCGTTTCTTTGTTGTCATCGGCGATTCCGTTCGCCATGGCGATATTCTCGGGCG